GAGAAAGGAGGAAGGAGGCAGGAGGAAGGAGGAAGGAGGAAGAAGGAGGAGGAGGAGGAGGAGGAGGAGGAGGAGGAGGAGGAGGAGGAGGAGGAGGAGGAGGCTGTGAGAGAGCAGGGGGCCCTCCCGGGCGGGGGCCCTCCGGCTGCCCAGGAGGCCCCCCTGGGGCAGCCCCCTTCCGGCCCCCTCCGATCACTGGCCCCAGGGGCCTTCCGTCGGAGGGTTGCGGGGCCCCCCCGCGGCGGCCGAGCCCCTGGCGCCGCCACTCTCCGCGGCGACTGAGGGGGCCCTTAATGGGCGCCCGAAGACTTGGCATCGCTCAGACGCGCGCGCTGCTTCTCGACGAGGACAATCGATCGGTGGCGAGCGGGCGGGGGCATCGCTCGGGCGCGCGCGCTGCTTCTCGGCGAGGACCATCGATCGGCGGCGAGCGGGCGGGGGGAAGCGAGAAGGAGAGGGGGGCCCTTGATGGGCGCCCCGATGCTTGGCATCGCTCGGACGCGCGCGCTGCTTCTCGGCGAGGACCATCGATCTGTGGCGAGCGAGTGTGGGGGGGGTGAGAAGGTGAGGGGGGCCCTCGATGGGCGCCCGAAGACTTGGCGAGGATCATCGATCGGCGGCGAGCGGGTGGGGGGAAGTGTTCACGAGAGGGGAGCCCTTAGTGGGCGGCATCGCTCGGACGCGCGCGCTGCTATTCGGCGAGGGCCATCGATTGGCGGCGATCGAGTGGGGGGAAGTGAGAAGGAGAGGAGAGATGGGGGCCCTTAATGGGCGCCCGAAGACTTGGCATTGTTCGGACGCGCGCGCTGCTTCTCGGCGAGGGCCATCGATCGGCGGGCCGCGAGCGGGGGGGGTGAGGAGGAGAAGGGTGCCCTTAATGGGTGTCCGAAGACTTGGCGTCGCTCGGACGCGCGCGCTGCTATTCGGCGAGGATCATCGATTGGCGGCAAGCGAGTGGGGGGAAGTGAGAAGGAGAGGCGAGGGGGGGCCCTTAATGGGCGCCCGAAGGCTTGGCATCGCTCGGGCGCGCGCGCTGCGTCTCGGCGAGGACCATCGATCGGCGGCGAAGGAGTGGGGGGAAGTGAGAAGGAGAGGGGGGCCGCTGATGG